CGTTACGCTAATATGAAGAACATATTGTGTAACATTTCGGTCGATCATCCAATCAGATTTAAAGCCCGCTATGCTAATAAGGTAAACATTATTAGAATTTAATTTCGTGTTAATAAACGACAACCACATTAACCAAGTCCTAATAAGTCGCACGAATTAAGTAGTGTTAGCTGAATTTTAATTAATTTTTTCTGTTTTTTCTGGAAATTTGGTTGTCAAGATTGTTTGTCAGGATGGTTTGTCAGGATTTTGACTAAACAATTACATACATATGCTGTAATTTGCATAACAATTTTTAACAATTACCGAAATTATTAACTATTATTAACTAATTAATAATTATTTTATTATTAACTAACAACTCGGTAGTCCCATCACTAGATGTAATATTAGTTGGGCCCAAGAGAAGATATGCATTTAGGGAGGTGTTTCATAGGACATGCACTTAGGGGTCTGACTGTACTGTATATAGGCACTTTCAAGCAAAAATTCAGTTCTTCTCTTAAGCAGACATTGCAGTGGATCAGGTGTATACATATTTATATAATTGTTTTTAGTTGGTTTTTTGTATATTATAATTGTCTTTTGATTTTATGAGACAAACATGAAACACTTATGAGTAATCTATGAAATTCACTACTAACAATGATTATACAATAGATATTTGCTCAGTGGAAGGACTGCTTAAAAGCATCCTTTATTGTCAAACTTTTTAAATTTAATAATATAGTAATTACAACATTATAATAGTCAATCATTTATAATGTAAATTATATGATTAGACAGATGACAGAAAAATCTCTAGCATGTACTCAAACTAGTATCAAGGCACATCTCTGCACACTGCTATTTACATGATTATTTAGTTAAATAATATAATATTAGATATTTTTTTACTATATAATTAAAACTATATATATATTTTTTTTTTAAAGTGAGGTTTTGCCTTTATCTTTATTAATAATTTGTATTGAGAATCCACTATGGGTTTCTTTGGCTGAAGCCAATTTACAAAAATTTTACAAGAATAAAATTCAGACTACCAGAAACTATCTAAACTAGTAATTCTGATTTATCTGTAATCTAAACTTACTAAAGTGGTTAAAACTCATCTAGATTAAAACTATATATAATGCTAAATAAAAATTGTTAAAGATAGTAATTAATTTATTTTATTTATAAGATTTTGGATAATAAAGAATAGCTTGTATATTTTTAAATGTCTAGAGTGAATTGCTTTACTTTTTAGATTATTTTAGCACAAATTTACTTCTAAATACATTAATAATACTATATTATATTAAAAACTTTGGTTCTAATATTAAATTTTAATCTGTAGCCAAGTATTTCTTTTTTAAATAAAATAATATAAAATATGAAATTTGAATATTAATGCTAAAAGGATATAGTGACTTAGTGAAGTGGTGATGTTGTTGCACTATAAGCAGTTAAGTACAAGTTCAATTTTTATGGAAAGCAAAAATTAGATTTTAAAAAAACAGATTTGGCAACTATTGTTGTGGTCAGAAAAACTCAAAATCCTGTAACTGTAGTTGTATCAAAATAAAATTAAAAGATTCTGGAGCATTTGTGTAATAAAGAAATTATACAAAGGCATGCAAGCTGGTTTAGTTAGTACAAAACTCAAGATAAGTTCTTCAAAACCGCAAAAAGCCACAGGGTCGATATAATAGTGGTATGTTTACTTAGAAAGTTCTGAATAAGAGGTAACACAGATCTTTAACAGTACTACATATGGATTACTACTTAGAAAACTAGTAAAACTGAATGGAACTGAAGTATTTGGTAAGGTACTCTATCACCTAGGCTGTCAAAAGAGTACTAAAGGAAAAGAACCTAATCGTAAGGATTAAGAGCAGGTTATAGCTCTTCCAGACCATCTGAATTGGTAGTTTAAGGTAGCTAAGAATACTGATAATAATCTGTAGTATACCAGGGTTTAAGTAAACTCTATAAGAGTAGAAGTAGGTTATATAGCAGCATTAAGCCATAGTTAGTTAAAACGTTATAAAAAAACTGATAAAACAAATAGCTAGAAAACACTTTCACTATGGAAACTGAGGTACAAGTAGTGGCCTTTGTTCATACATATCAACTAAAGCTTAAGTTAGTCAGATTGTGAATATGGAAGGCTCTAGCAGGTTTATCTTAAGAATAAAAAGCTCAATAGAAATCTGCTTTAAAGAATAATAGCAGGGTGCAGTTCAAAATTTCTGGAAGTCATGTATATAGTCATCATTTTGTATAACATTTATGCATACAAAATTTTTTTTATGTACATAGTATTAAATATATAAATATTATAAATTTACATACTGATACATATGTACATAATTATTTTTATATGTACATAAAACACTTTTGAAGAAGAATGATGATAAACAATAACCTTTATATACGTATAGAGTTCTTAAAAGTTATAGTAATTCCTTAAATATCATTATTCATCTTCAACATGTTATAAATCCTGCTATAAAATTAAAGTTATTTCCTGATACTATATTGCTATGATCAAGTTAAATATATATAATAAAGTTTTTATTAATCCGCTATAATAAATTGATTGAATATAAATAGTTTTTTTAAAAAAAGTTTCTGTACAAACCAATTTTCTAGTTAAAGTTTAACTGAACAAGATTATATTATAGTGATAATGATTACTGATTTAATTAAAATTTTTTAAGAAATGAGTGTTGCAGAGTTAAAACCTGTAACTGAGGTTTCACACTAAAATACTCATATTATATTATAATTGAATTATCTCTTTTTAAGTGAATCTTTTGTAAGATTCTATTTAAACATTTTAGAGTATAAATATATATAATCATAAAATATATATAATATTTAAATTCTGCAATGATCAATTACATTTATCAATATATAAAAGAATGGTTAGAAAATTATTCTTTTTCTCGTATTTTACACTTACTATACTTGATATACGCAGACATACTTTACGGTTGCTTTTTTTTTTATGATAGAAAAATGTAACTCATGTATACAAAAATACCTCCTGAAAATTTCAAGCTTCATGGAAAAGTGTATAAGACTTGCGCAACTTGTTTGATTAAAAAAGCTGAAAAAAGAGTTGATAAAAAAACTGCACCCAATCATAATAATATTGAAACAATTATATTAAACAATTTAACTGAATATGTTATAGAGTTGATAGACAGCTTTGAGAATAACTCTGGGTTATCTTTTACAATAAATGTCGATGTCAACATGTCTGATCAAAATTTCAATATCAAGTCAATTGTTAATATGGTTGTCAACAGTATTGAGGAAGGTGATGGTTATAATTGGGTATAAGTAGTGAAAAAATTAAATTTTTAAAAAATAAATTTTTAACATATATATATAAAAAAAATTAAATTTTTTAAGAATAAATTTTTAACATGTATATGTTTAAATATTTGAAAAGTTAAAACAGCACCCTATATGTTGACTTGTTATGAAAACGTTGGTACTTTCTATTTCAGCTGCTCTCAGTCAAATGATTTAGCACGTGATTACAAAGAATCCAATCATTCAAGAATGGAATGCTTTAATTGTCATAGAACACTAGTTATACATGTTGATATGCCTGTGGCTAAGATGACAGTAAAACTTAAACATGAAATTCTTTATAAAAAATCAATTGACGTTACAACGCCTGAAGAGATCAAACAAGCAATTTTAGAAAATATTTATATAGATCCTGTGCAACTTAGAACATATCTTTATGATAAGTTTGATATTTCAAAAATTATATTGCAGCAAATTAGATATTAGTGGTCATTATTTGCTTAGAATTTTTATAAATCTGATAATAATCATGTTAATTCAGCATATTCTTTTCTTAAATCAGACAAAGCCACGGGTTGTGAGCTTTGCTATGAGTTAATGACAGATCAAACAACTGCAATTGGGTTTATTACATCCTTGTATAACAAAATTAAATCAATATCTGAAATTCATTGTGACGCTACCTACAAAACTGCAAAAGGACGATTTGAATTGTATGGACTTATTTGCAATTTTAAGGGTATAGGGTATCTACTGGCTTATCTAATTTTAGATACTATTAAAGTTTCTGATAAGGAACTACAAGATGAAAGACGAACACATGCTTTAACTGAGTTTTTTGATTCAATTCGCAGTAAAGGTTTATATCCTGACTATTTTTTTACAGACAAGGACTTTTCAGAAATAAATGTGGCAAAGAGAGTCTAGCCTAATGCTGATATACAACTTTGCTAATGGCATGTTGAGAGGGCAATTAGCCAAAAGCTTAAATGTCGTAAAAAGATTCAACATGTTTAGTACCAACTCGAAGATGCTGCAGCAGAATTTGATTTTATAGATTTAAATTTTAAACCAAATTTGAAAGTAATTGACGATGAAATCTGCCTTCAAAATCTCAAACAAAAGGTTCTTAACCTGATTAAAATATACTTTAATAGACATCCTAAAATTCCAGTTAATGCCAATAGGCATTGTTTAACTTCTGATGAAATTCATAGAAATTCAGTATATGAAATGTATAAATTTTGTCTTACCAACAATCTTGCATTATTATAGTCTTATCTTTGGTGTTCATAGTACAAGATAGAGCAGTGGAGCCTTTGGGCTTGTTCAATGAGAGCAACAATCTCTATTGGAAAGACGAATATAAAAATTAAAGCCTATTGGAAAGTGTTTAAGCACAACTATCTATATCGTTATAATCGATCATGTCTGGACTACCTTGTATAGATCATTTGTTCTCATGTACTGTGTGATCAAACTATTCGCTTTTAGCAAATGGAGCTTGGACGAATAATTGCCTCATGGTTTGAGAATTTTAAAAGAGACTGGAAGTTGCTTGCATCTAGACTAATTACTGTAAATGCTGAAAAACATTATATAATTGATATAACACATTGGGTGTGTAGTTGTACATCTTTTTTTAATAGCAGATTTTTTATCTATAAGCATTTAGTTGGTCGTGCGATTGAGAAAGAAAAATTATATAATCTTAATGGTATTCGACTGTTATATTCTAATTTTGAACAAAACACAGACTACCTATTTTTAACTTAAAATAATGGCATTCTACAAAACCAGTCTCTTAATAAACAACTACTTAATGAACAATATCTTAATATTAATAATAAATTATTAAAACAAGCGAATATTAAGAATGATTTGATTGCTACTGATAATAATGATGAAAACTTTGACCCTGAACTTTGCCAACAATACAAGTCCAAGATAGTTGTATTAGAATGTTTTGTGGAGTATTTAAATAATGAATTATCAGCAAACAATTTGCGGCACATAAAGAATATTATTAATAATATGAAGCGTATATTTACTATTATTGATGATATAGAATCATCTTAACACAAGAGGCGATGTAGTAAAACTTGGAATAAATCAAAGCTGTGGACACTATTTTTAAAATAAAGGTTAGTTTATCTTATTAAGATATTAGTTTTATTAAAATTTAGTAATTTTGATATATATATTTTTTAATTCTAGCATAATATAACTATTCAAGATTAATAATGTTTGTATATTGAATTAGCATAGTTGTAGATTCTAAATTAGTAAGAATTGAATATTTGAACTGTTTAGTTAGAGAATTCAAAATTTCTTGTTAAGAATATTTGGTCTTTAATCTTATAGTAATAGGTGATTCAAATAAATTTTAATAAATTCATAATTGCTAACAACTTTTATTGTAGTTATTTTTTTCCCGAATTTTTTTATTTTAATGATTCTGATAATTCATTAACTAAAAATTTATACATAAAAATGGTACAAAATTCTTAAAAGCTTGATTGTTATCAAAAAATATTACGTTTATTCAAAACTCTGGATGAATTTCATATTTAATAGTATATTATCTCAATGCACAATAATATAAATTTATAGATGATAACGATGACAGTTGTATAATTATATGCATTAATTGGGTTGGTATATAATGATAATTTGTATATGCTTAGTACAAATAGCAATATTTGCCATATATTTTATTTATTTAGAAATAATAATACATAGCAGTTTGTGCCATTATACATAGTGCTTTAGGTGATTATTTAAATTTAAAAACCTAAATAAGATTTAGTAAACATAATACTGTATTAGTATTATACTAAATTTGGTCAAAAGTCTGGGAGTTTTTTATTTTAAGAATTTTCTGTATTGATTATATATAAATTGCACTAATCGTATAAAGTCGCTGATAAAATAAATCGTTTAAAAACTAGTATATGTATATATGTGCGTACGTTTTACATATTTTTTTAGAAAATTAATTTGGTATTGGTTGAATAACACAATAAGGTTGGTAATGTATAAATGTTATACAAAATAATGATCATGCACGTGACTTTCAGAAATTTTAGACTGCACTCTGCCATTATTTAAGTAAACTACACTTAGCTGCAATGATTAGTGATTAGCTTTAAAGATATAAAAAGGCTGTAAATTTTCTCAAGTTAATATTAGACCTGAAATAACAGAAGACCTGTTATTGTCCACCCTAAACCCAGACTTCCCTAAATTCTCTCTTGTAATATTATAGGATTCTTTAGAAATAGAAACTTAAGGATAGCCTATCTTATTTATCTTTAATAAACATATATTTTATCTATAAACTATTGTTTGCCTAAACTGCCACAGACAGAAGAGTATAGTTTCTCCAAAAAGCAGAAATTATACTTACCTGTTAAACACTGCTATGTATAAACCTGTAAAGGATCCCTATAGCTGTGTTATTGTTATAGTACTGCTGTTAAGAAGACCATGGTATTGTAACAGTAGAGTTAAGAGATAGAGTACAGTAATTATGAAATATTATACTGTTCAGATTTTTAATTTGATTATGAAGTATAGCAATCTCTTTAGGTGAAGTATTAAGTGATGTTGAATTGAGAACATGTTGTAGAAAACTGTTTATTAAATTATAAATAAGTTGAGGTAATGAGCATGTAATTCAATGTAGTAAAGTATTTATTTGGTTGCATTAGTGACAGTTTGGTGTGAATTGATGATTCCATTGATATAGAACATAAGAAGTAGGCAGTTCAATCAGAAAAATTTCTATATGAAATGATTTAAAGTAGATGATTGAAAACTATATAAATAGTTTAAAATTTTTTGGTTGTTGTTTATATATAGCCAGGTTGCAGACTAGTTAATATAAATAGTAATTTGTGATTATTATTAAAATCTGTGTTAAGATGACTATAGAGCATAAATATGAGCATGACAAATAGTATGAATAGAGTGTCGAATTGGTAATTCTAAAGGATATTTATTAAGTAAAAGAGTATAGTTTGAATTGTAGATATTATAAGGTTTAAAAATAAAGTAGTCTAAAGTAAGGTGATAGCGGGTGAGTTGATCAACAAGATTATTAAAATGATTATTCTGATATGCAGTTACTTTGTAAAATCTAATTTGAAGGTTATAGACTTAAATAAAGTTAATAAAAGTATACTAAAGTATAGAATATGAAGAGTTTGTAAAAGATAATAAATTGGGTGATTATATAAAACTATTATATCTAGAAATAACAGATTATAAGTCTGTAAAAATGTAAACAGTACAGGATTTGGGTATAGTACTAATTGCTAATAATATAGCAATAAGCTCTGTTTTGAAGAAGCATGGCCAGTATTTAATTTGTGCTTAAAATTTGTATATAATATTGTCCTGTAAGGTTTGTATCTATCCAATATCTATAGAGCAGTTTGGTGAGCCAAGATCCAATACAGAACCATCTGTGAAGAAAGTAATTTTTAAAAGATGTGAATTAGAGTTTGTAATAGTTTGTAAAATATTAGTAAGTGATCCAGATTCAAATATAGATAGAATTGAAGAAGTGTTATAAAAAATATTAGAAGCAGGTGGAATATAAAGAGAATAGTAAATAGCAATTGAATATATTAAATCTAGGAAGTTAATATAGGATTTGATAGTTTTGTTTTAAGAATTATAAGTACAAAAGAATTTGGATATAGTATTAATTAGAATAAAGAGTGTACAAGTATTAGCAATAAGGTTTAAATTAAAAGAACAGCCAGAACAAGGAGTAATATTAATAGGAGTAGAATATAAATTTAGTAAATTGTGATTGAAAGGAGCATTGTCAGTGTATTATAAGTACAGAACCAGTTGAGATAATCTGTTTTCTGGCTTTGCCAATAACTATCTGATTTTCAGTAGTAGTAATAAGCCATGGTTTTGGTCTTAAAAAAAAATGTTCAGTAGTATAACTAAAATAGTTGTCAGGAAGATTGTAGAGATTATAAAGTGTTCTATTAGATTTATAGTTAGTTATTTTGTTTTCAAGAGTTATAAACCATAATGGTTTTCTTCCTCAAGAAATTTTATAAAGTCTAGGTGCAATATGCTTTAGCTAAGAAGGCAGGAGTTGTCGAATGTTGTAAGTTGATCTAAATATAGAATATAGTGTTTACAAAGTTGTTGCTTAAAAGTAATATAGTTAGAATGTAATGATAATATAGATTCAAGAGATATTGAGCCTTCTTGAGGTGTATATAAGATATTGTAAATTAAATTATGTATAATTATTATACCAAGATGCTTAACAAGTTGAATCATTTTGTAATTAGTTGTATTTTTATTAGGTTCATCAACTATAGGATTAGGATGTATTAAGATATTTGTAGATGACTAAAGATTGTTTTGAAGTTGTTGAAGACGAATATATAAGCTAATATCCAGAAGATCTGGATTATTTATTTTCTTCATATAATTAGTGATATGGTGCTAAAGTTAGATATCCCAGATATTGTGAATATTATAGAAGTGTAGATGCAGAAGAGTGCTTGTAGGAGTTGTGCGACTTAGTTTAGCTTTATGCTTAATAAAACTAATATGGTATAAGAATATTTTTTTGCAAGTATCTTGACTAAACACAAGGTTGTATAATCGATATTCAATTGTAGGTATTATTATGGTATTAACAATATATTGAGCATGAGTATCAGTAATATGTTTAGTATCCACAATTTAAATGAAGTGTAGTGATTCTTCAATAATAAGTTTGGTTTGCTTAGAAGTTTTGTTATCAAGTGTAAACTAACATCCAAAAAATTTGAAAGGTGTGTAAAGGTAGTAAGTATTGATTGTAAATAATTAGAATATAATCAAAAGGTGGGTTATTAGTACAAAGAAAAGATTTGGAAAGATTAACTTGAATGTTAGCTATATTG